ACCGTTTCACCACAGAGTCGTGTTGGCCGCTGCCCCACAGAGTCGTGCTGACCGCTTGCAAACAGAGTCGTGTTGGACGCTGCCCCACAGAGTCGTGTGACCGCTGCCACCACAGAGCGTGTGGACCGCTGCCACAGAGTCGTGTTGACCGCTGCCCCACGAGTCGTGTTGACCGCTGCCCAACTAGTCGTGTTGACGTTTGCCCTACAGAGTCGTGTTGACCGCTGCACCACAGAGTCGTGTTGACCGCTGCACCACAGAGTCGTGTTGACCGCTGCACCACAGAGTCGTGTGGACCGCTGCACCACAGAGCCGTGCTGACCGCTGCACCACAGAGTCGTGCTGGCCGCTGTACCACAGAGTCGTGCTGACCGCTGCGCCACAGAGTCGTGTTGACCGCTGCACTACAGAGTCGTGTTGACCGCTGCACACAGTCGTGCTGACGCTGACCCACAGAGCGTGTTGACCGCGGGCACCACGAGGTCGTGCGGGCCGACTGTCCCAAGGGTCGTGTGACCGCTGCACCACAGAGTCGTGTGGACGCTGCACCACAAAAGTTTGTGTTGCCCGCTGCACCCCCAGAGTCGTGTGGACCGCTGCCCCACAGAGTCGTGTTGGCCCGCTGCATCACAGAGTCGTGTGGACCGCTGCACCACAGAGTCGTGTTGACCGCTGTACCACAGAGTCGTGTGACCGCTGCACCACAGAGTCGTGTGGACCGCTGCACCACAGAGTCGTGTTGACCGCTGCACCACAGAGTCTTGTTGACCGCTGCACCACAGAGTCGTGTTGACCGCTGCACCACAGAGTCGTGTTGACCCCCTCCCACCCCCAAGAGCGTGTTGACCGCTGCCCCACAGAGTCGTGTTGACCGCTGAAACCACAGAGTTCGGGGCCTGACTGCTGCCCACCACAGAGTCGTGCGGGAACCCCTGCACCACAGAGTCGTGTTGACCGCTGCACCACAGAGTCGTGCAACCGCCTGCACCCAGAGTCGTGCTGACCGCTGCACCACAGAGTCGTGTTGACCGCTGCACCACAGAGTCGTGTTGACCGCTGCACCACAGAGTCGTGCTGACCGCTGCACCACAGAGTCGTGTTGACCGCTGCACCACAGAGTCGTGCTGACCGCTGCACCACAGAGTCGTGTTGACCGCTGCACCACAGAGTGTGTTGACCGCTGCACCACGGGAGTCGTGCTGACCGCTGCACCAAGAGTCGTGTGACCGCTCCCACCACAGAGTGTGTGACCGCTGCCACCAGAGTCGTGTTGACCGCTGCCCCCAGAGTTGTTGACCGCTGACCAAGAGTCTGTTGCGCTGCACCACAGAGGTTTTGGGGACCGCTGCACCACAGAGTCGTGCTGACCGCTGCACCACAGAGTCGTGTTGACCGCTGCACCACAGAGTCGTGTTGACCGCTGCACCAAAGAGTCGTGTTGACCGCTGCACCACAGAGTCGTGTTGACCGCTGCACCACAGATCGTGTGACCGCTGAAACCAACAGAGTCGTGGCTGACCGCTGCACCACAGAGTGGTGTTGCCCCGCTCCCACCACAGAGCCCGTTTGACCGCGGGCCACCAAGAGTTCGTGTGACCGCTGCACCACAAGTCGGTGTGACCGCTGCAACCACAGAGTCGTGCTGCCCGCTGCACCACGAGTCGTGCTGCCGTTTGCACCACAAGTCGTGCGACCGCTGCACCACAGGTCGGTCTGACCGCTGCACCCAGAGTCGTGTGGACCGTTTCCCCAAGGTCGTGCTGCCCGCTGCACACAGAGTCGTGCTGAGCCGCTGCACCACAAAAGTCGTGCTGCCCCTTTGCACCAAAGAGTTCGTGCTGACCGCTGCACCTCAGGTCGTGGCTGACCGCTGCCCACAGAGTCGTGCTGACCGCTGCACCACAGAGTCGTGTGACCGCTGCACCACAGAGTCGTGCTGACCGCTGCACCACAGAGTCGTGCTGACCGCTGCACCACAGAGTCGTGCTGACCGCTGCACCACAGAGTCGTGCTGACCGCTGCACCACAGAGTTGTGACCGCTGCACAAGGTCGTTTGACCGCGCACCACAGAGTCGTGCTGACCGCCTGCACCACAGAGTCGTTTGGACCGCTCCCCACCACAGAGTCGGTTGACGCTGCCCCCCCCCACAGAGTCGTGTTGACCGCTGCACCACAGAGTCGTGTTGACCGCTGCACCACAGAGTCGTGTTGACCACTGCACCACAGAGTCGTGTTGACCACTGCACCACAGAGTCGTGTTGACCACTGCACCACAGAGTCGTGTTGACCACTGCACCACAGAGTCGTGTTGAACACTGCACCAAACGGTTTCGTGTTGACCACTGCACCACAGAGGGGTAATCCCTTCATATTAGTTTAATCCCCAAACATGGATTGTGTAACCAAAACCCCAACACTAAAGTACAAATAACTTTTTCTCATCACTCTTGTTCGTTACCTACTCTATACTACTACTACGCTACTACTACTAATACTACTACATTTCTACTACTACTACTACTACTCCCTATACTACAACTACTGCTACTACTACTACACTACAATATACTGCTACTACTACTACTACTACTACTACTTGCTACTACTAATATACTACTACTTCTACTCTACTAACTTATACCTACTACTACTACTTACAAAACTACTACTATGCACTTATACTTCTACTACTACTACTACTACTTACTGCTACAACATTACTAACTACCTACTACTTTACTACTACATACTCTACTTCTACTACTTCTCAAACACTACTACACTCTACTACTACTACTACTCTACTGAAACTCACATACTACTACTCTCTACTACTACTAATACTCTATATACTCTATTCCCTTTAACACTACTTACTTACTACCTCTACTACTAATACACTACTCTACTACTACTACTTCTATATACTTACTATCTACTAATACTACTGCTATACTATATTAACTACTACTACTACTACTTACTACTAACTATACTATCTATACTACTAATACTACTAAACTACACTACTACTATTTACTACTACTACTCAACTACTACTACTCACTACTACTATCTATTTAATACTCTACTAAATACTATCTACTAATACTACTACTACATGCTACTACTACTACTACTATACTACTACTACTATACTACTACTACTACTACTACTACTACTAATACTATACTACTACTACTACTGCAAACTCTACTAATACTATTAACTACTACTACTATACTACTACTAATACTACTACTACTACTATTACTGCTATATACTACTATACTACTACTACTACTAATACTACTACTAACTATCTATTTACTGCTACTACTACTAATACTACTACTACTATTTAACTATTTACACTAATACTACAAATACTACTACACTACTACTACTACTACTACTATACTAATACTACTACATTATTTATGCTATTCTACTACTACTATATTTACTACTACTACTAATACTACTAACTACTAATACTACTATTTACTACTAATATAATCCTACTACACTACAAATATATACTACTACTAACTACTACTAATACTACTACTACTACTACTACTACTAATACTACTAACTACTACTAACTGCTATTATACTATACTATACTACTACTACTACTACTTTTCTACTAATACTACTACTACTACTACTACTAATACTACTACTACTATACTACTGTACTACTACTATTTGCTACTACTACTACTGCTATTACTACTACTACTACTACAAAATAACTACTGATATTACTACTACTCCTAATACTACTACTAATACTATACTATTTACTATACTACTACTAATACTACTACTTACTACACTACTATATAATATACTACTACTACTACGGGCTATTACTAACTACTACTACTATACTACTACTAATACTACTACTACTACTACTACTAATACTACTAACTACTATACTGTACTACTACTACTGCTACTACTACTACTGCTATTCTACTACAAATACTACTACTACTACTGATATTACTACTACTACTACTACTACTACTACAAATTTTACTACTACTACTACTACTACTGCTACTACTATATTGTACTACTACTACTGCTATTCTACTACTACTACTACTATACTACTACTACTACTATATATTATACTGTAACTAATACTACTATACAAATAATACTACTACAAACTATAATCTACTACTACTACTGCTACTACTACTACTTTTCTATTACTACTACTACTACTATACTACTACTATTACTACTAAATAATAATAATAATAAAAATTAAAATTTAATTATTTTATTATCATCATTATTATTATTTTTTATTATTATTATTATTATTATCATTATTATTATTATTATTATTATATTTTAACTTATTATTATTTTTATCATTACAAAAAATTCAAATCACACTAATTCATTGTTTCACAACATTTCCTTTTACCTTACCCCAACTG